CAAGTCGTCTGATATCATTATGTATAATGCAGGCTCCATAGCTATGTTTTGGATGTGGGGACACCTACGAACCATGCACTACTGCAGCGTAAGGGAGAAGAGGTGAGCTCTGGCTTCTGGTGGATCAGATATCAGGTGAGTAAGAGTGCTTCTTCCAAGTATCTTAGACCTAAATGAGCTTTTTACTCTTGCAGTGTGGAGGAAGACTTTTTGATAAAGAGGTCTGACAAATCCCAAACTGTGTGAAGCAAATGGGGGGGGTTGTACCAAACACAATGCCGACCTCCATTTTCCCAAAAGTCACAAGTTGGTAACAAACATGATCTGATTTAAATCTCATTTCTTTGCTAGCATTCATAGAATGTGACACAATTGGAAACATGGCCAGATTAACACACATTTAACAAAAGGTAGAGGAATCATAAAACCCCAGTAAAACAGTTCAAGCTAGATGTCATAATCCTTCATTAGCAGGGTCTCCAAAACCTCCTAATAAAGTCATGTCATAAACTGTCTAGTGAGCAATACACATCTGTGGACTTTTTTTTTTAATAGAGCTGAACTTTCATACATCCCAAGCCCTCAACTCTGGTTCATTTTCCATAATGCCTCATGGGACTTACAAGAGGTTACACTAATGTATGGGAAGATGCCAGTTACACTAAACACACCTAATATTACAATGCAGGAAACGAATAAAACATATCAGATCTCCTAAGCAAAACATACATAATATTAATATCATATTTTGTTTCTAATAAATTGTATTCTCATTCTGCTTAATAATGTATTGTTTATCAAATGTGTATGTATGAATGTGAGTTCGGGATCTTAGATTGTAAACTCCTTTTGGGCAGGGATTGATGTGGATGTACAATATATACTATATGTAAAGCGCTGCATATGGTGCTAAATAAGTACCTGTAATAAATACAATAAATAAATAAATAAATAAAATTGGACCAGATTGGACTGACTCTGCAAACCAATTAGACACTTTTCTAAGAATCTAAGACCAGGAGACTTTACTTAAGAACTTTCTCACTTTTAAGCCTTTTTCTTTTACTGTGCATACAATATATCTATTCTGCAATGATTCTTTCCGGAAATATTTTCTTTTACCTTTCCTTTTTACTTTCATTAAAAAAATATTTATATATCATTAGGTCTAATCTCTGAATGCTCTAACTAGAAGTGCTCCTTCAAGAAAGCTACCATATTGTAAACTTTAAATTTATGAAGATCCTGAATATAGATACCTCATTTAGTACAGCACTAACATCCAGTGAAAGATATAATAACTTACATTGTAGTGATAAATTGCAGTGATGAAAATAGTGAAATATTAAAATAAATAATACAAATTTTAATAAAATCTTAAAAATAAATGAGAAAGGAAATAATAAAACACACATTAAAAATTTTATATATATATATATATATATATATATATATATATATATATATATATATATAAAACAGTGAAGAACAGAAGTATTTGAACACCCTGCGATTTTGCAAGTTCTCCCACTTAGAAATCATGGACGGGTCTGAAATTCACATTGTAGGTACATTCCCACTCTGAGAGGCAGAATTTAAAATAAAATTCAGGAAATCACATTGTGTGATTTTTAAAGATTTTATTTGTCATGCACTGCTGAACATAAGTATTTGAACCGGATAGCGCACTGACTGTGAGAACACCTTGCCCGTCGTTGTGGCCATTGTCATTTTTCTATGCTTTTTAGATACATGCTTTGTCTGTGAGTATGTTTTTATGATTTAATTCCTACAATAAACCTTGGATAATGCACTAGGTGTGTGCGCCACCTGTGTTTTCTCTCTATAAGTATTTGAACACCTGAGAAAATCAGTGTTAATATTTGGTTTCGGAAGCCTTTGTTTGCAATTACAGAGGTCAAACGTTTCCTGTAGTTCTTGACCAGGTTTGCACACACTTCAACAGGGATTTTGGCCCACTCCTCCACACAGATCTCCTCTAGATCTGTCAGATTTCAGGGCTGTCGCTGAGCAACACGGAGTTTCAGCTCCCTCCAAAGATGTTCTATTGGATTTAGGTCTGGAGACTGGCTAGGCCACTCCAGAACCTTGATATGCTTCTTACGGAGCCACTCCTTGGTTATCCTGGCTGTGTGCTTCGGGTCGTTGTCATGTTGGAAGACCCAACCATGACCCATCTTCAATGCTCTGACTGAGGGAAGGAGGTTGTTGCTCAAAATCTCACAATAAATGGCCTCATTCATCCTCTCCTTAATACAGTGCAGTCATCCTGTCCGCTTCGCAGAAAAGCACCCCCAAAGCATGATGTTACCACCCCCATGCTTCACAGTAGGGATGGTGTTCTTGGGATGCAACTCATCCTTCTTTTTCCTCCAAACACGACGAGTGACGTTTAGAGCAAAAAGTTCTACTTTGGTCTTATCTGACCACATGACTTTCTCCCATGGCTCCTCTGGATCATCCAGATGGTCATTGGCAAACTTCAGATGGGCCTGGACATGTGATGACTTGAGCAGGGGAACCTTCCGTGAAATGCATGATTTGAAACCATGACGGTGTAGTGTTCTACCGACAGTGACCTTTGAAACTGTGGTCCCAGCTCTCTTCATGTCATTGACCAGCTCCTCCCTTGTAGTTCTGGGCTGATTCCTCACCTTTCTTATCATCAGTGATACCTTACAAGGTGAGATCTTGCATGGAGCCCCAGTCCGAGGGAGACTGACAGTCGTCTTTAGCCTCTTCCATTTTCTAACAATTGCTCCATCAGTTGATCGATTTTCACCAAGCTGCTTGGCAATTGCCCCGTATCCCTTTCCAGCCTTTTGGAGGTCCACAATTTTGTCTCTGGTGTTTTTTGGCAGCTCTTTGGTCTTGCCCATGGTAGTAGTTGGCGTCTGACAGACTGTGGGGTCGACAGGTGTCTTTAAAGAGCTCCGACAGGTGCTACTAAGTTAGAATAATGAGTGGAGTAGAGGTGGACTTTTTAAAGGCACAGTAACAGGTCTTTGAGAGCCAGAATTCTTGCTGTTTCTTAGGTGTTCAAATACTTATGTTCAGCAGTGCAAGACAAATACATTTTTTAAAAATCATACAATGTGATTTCCTGAAATGTTTTTTAAATTCTGTCTCTCAGAGTGAGAATGCACCTACAATGTAAATTTCAGACCCCTCCATGGTTTCTAAGTGGGAGAACTTGCAAAATCGCAGGGTGTTCAAATACTTCTGTTCCTCACTGTATATACAGTCATGGCCGAAATTGTTGGCACCCTTGATATTTTTCCTGAAAATCAAGTATTTCACACAAAAAAGGTATTGCATTAACACATGTTTTGCTATACACATGTTTATTCCCTTTGTATGTATTGGAACAAATATAAAACAGAGGCAGAAAAGCAAATATGACATAATGTCACACAAAACCCCAAAAATGGGCTGGACAAAAGTATTGGCACCCTTAACTTAATATTTGGTTGCACACCCTTTGGAAAACATAACTGAAATCAGTCGCTTCCTATAACCATCAATAAGCTTCTGACACCTCTCACCCGGAATTTTGGACCACTCTTCCTTTGCAAACAGCTCCAGGTCTCTCTTATTGGAAGGACACCTTTTCCCAACAGCAATTTTAAGATCTCTCCACAGGTGTTCAATGGGATTTAGATCTGGGCTCATTGCTGGCCACTTCAGAACTCTCCAGCGCTTCTTTGCCATCCATTTCTGAGTGCTTTTTGACGTATGTTTGGGGTCATTGTCCTGCTGGAAGACCCAGGATCTTGGACGCAAACCCAGCTTTCTGACACTGGGCCCTACAGTGCGACCCAAAATCCTTTGGTAATCCTCAGATTTCATGATGCCTTGCACACAGTCAAGGCACCCAGTGCCAGAGGCAGCAAAACAACCCCAAAACATCATTGAACCTCCACCATATTTTACCGTAGGTACTGTGTTTTGTTCTTTGTAGGCCTCATTCCGTTTTCGGTAAACAGTAGAATGATGTGCTTTACCGAAAAGCTCTATCTTGGTCTCATCTGTCCACAAGACGTTTTCCCAGAAGGCTTTTGGCTTACTCAAGTACATTTTGGCAAACTGTAGTCTTGCTTTTTTATGTCTCTGTGTCAGCAGTGGGGTCCTCCTGGGTCTCCTGCCATAGCGTTTCATTTCATTTAAATGTCGACGGATAGTTCGCGCTGACACTGATGCTCCCTGAGCCTGCAGGACAGCTTGAATGTCTTTGGAACATGTTTGGGGCTGCTTATCCACCATCCGGACTATTCTGCGTTGCAATCTTTCATCAATTTTCCTCATCCGTCCACGACCAGGGAGATTAGCTACAGTGCCATGGGTTGCAAACTTCTTGATAATGTTGCGCACTGTGGACAAAGGCAAATCTAGTTCTCTGGAGATGGACTTGTAACCTTGAGATTGTTGATATTTTGCCACAATTTTGGTTCTCAGGTCCTCAGACAGTTCTCGTCTCCTCTTTCTGTTGTCCATGCTTAGTGTGGCACAGACAGACACACAATGCAAAGGTTAAGTGAACGTCTCTCCTTTTTATCTGCTTTCAGGTGTGATTTCTATATTGCCCACACCTGTTACTTGCCCCAGGTGAGTTTACAGGAGCATCACATGCTTGTAACATTCTTATTTATCCGCAGTTGTGAAAGGGTGCCAATACTTTTGTCCAGCCCATTTTTGGAGGTTTGTGTGACATTATGTCGAATTTGCTTTCTTTCCTCCCTTTTTTTGTTTTGTCCCAATACACACAAAGGGAATAAACATGTGTATAGCAAAACATGTGTTAATGCAATACGTTTCGTGAGAAATACATGATTTCCTGGAGAAATATCAAGGGTGCCAACAATTTCGGCCATGACTGTATATATATATATATATATATATATATATATATCCTAGAGTCCTAGAGAACCAGGGAAGCTTGTCCTTAACCCCTTTATCTGGCAGATATCAAACTACAGGAGATGGTCAGAGACTACAGACATGATGCAGGAGATGGTCAGAGACTGCAGACATAATACAGGAGCTGGTCAGAGACTGCATACATACAGGAGATGGTCAGAGTTTGCGGACATGATACAGGAGATGGTCAGAGACTACGGACATGATACAGGAGAAGGTGAGAGACTGCAGACAGGATACAGGAGTAGGTCAGAGAATGCGGACATGATACAGGAGAAGATCAGAGACTACAGACCTGATACCAAAGGTCATAGACTGTGGACATGATACAGAAGAAGGTCAGAGACTGCGGACATGTTATAGAAGGTCAGAGACTGTGGACATGATACAGGAGATGGTCACAGACTGCGGACATGATACAGGAGACGGTCAGAGATTGCCAACATACTACAAGAGATGGTCAGAGACTGCGGACATACTACAAGTGATGGTCAGAGACTGCAGACATGATACAGGAGATGGTCAGAGACTGCAGACATACAACAGGAGATGGTCAGAAACTGCATACATACAGGAGATGGTGAGAGACTGCGGATATGATACAGGAGATGGTCAGAGATTGCGGACATGATACAGGAGATGGTCAGAAATTGCGGACATGATACAGGAGATGGTCAGAGACTGCGGACATGGTACAGGAGCCTGTCGGAGACTGCAGATATGATACAGGAGATAGTCACAGACTGCGGACATGATACAGGAGATGGTCAGAGACTGTGGTGACATACTATAGGAGATGGTCAGAGACCACATACATAAAGGAGATGGTCAGAGTTTGCGGACATGATACAGAAGATGGTCAGAGACTGCAGACATGATATAGGAGATGGTCAGAGACTGCAGACATGACTCTCTAGTAATGATCATTCATGGTCATCATAGGGAATAGAAAAGACTCCTGTAATGCTTTCCATTGCTCACCTCGCTGTATAGTAGATGATATGATATATTCACACACCACAGTGGAGTCCAAGGAAAGCAGTAACCCTCCCCGAGGCACCCTGAGGTACTCCCACCTCCCCAGACAGTCTTCGCTGTTGCTGTGTTTCACAAAAGATGCCATTACCTCACTGCTGGTTCGAACCCCCCCTTCAGCTGAGCCAAGCCCACCCCCCTGCCTGAGCACAGCCGAAACTGTCCCCCCTCTCGACAGAGCTGACCCCCTGAAAAATGCTGCCCAAGGCAAACGCCTTTGCCTTGTTTGCCTTGCAGTAGATATGCCTCTGCTTGCGTCATCGTCATTGAATTTTCGGTGAAAAGGTCAGTAGTGAATGAAAACACAATAGATAGTTAATAATTTCAAGCCGTCCTAAATGCGGAAGGCTAAAAGTGATATAAGTGAGTTCCCAGATGCCCAAATGGTGGCATCAACATAAGTGACCCTAATAACTAAATGCACCAAAAGGTCCTAAATGGTTCCCATAAATAATTGTGAAATAATGATAATACTAAACCATGATAAAGTACCTCCATATACAAGTACACTACTGGAAAAAAAAAAACTGCTGGAAAAAAAACGTGCCCCACTATACTGACATCCAATCCGATCAATCCCATAAGTGGGAGAAAAACATAAATAATATAGACAACTGGTGCCTATGGTATGTAAATACAATCCCCAAGATCAAGCAATCCCAATAACATAAAAATGACAATGACCACGAAAAAAGTCCACGTAAAGAACAAGTCCTAAAGATGTAAAACATATGCAGATATCAGCTGTGTCTATAAATTGCAGATGCGGATGGTCTCAGGAAATTAATCCGTCACCAGCTAGATTGCACCCTCACCTCCACACATAGACCCCACAGGGCCAAAGCGCTAGAAGAATGCACTGAACAAATGCGCCTTGAAGATGCCTCTGGTTTTACCTGGGTCTCTGCAATGATGGTGGTATCAGCCCGTTTACCAGTAAAACTCCTGTCTTCCGGTCTCTTAAAGTGCTCCACTGTATACAGCCATCTCATAGTAACCAAAATGGAGAAAGACAAAAAGATTCTCCCATAGTGTAATAAATTCAACACTTTAATGTTAAAATGTATAGCCAGAATGCCCACTCACATATCGTACAGGAATAATCAGCATTTAAACCACATGGTTTTGTTGGGTGTACATGTATGGGTGTACCAATATGGCGTCCACGCCGGATGTGACGTCACCATGCTCCGTATGCCATTCCAACGTGTTGCGTCACTAATCACATGACTTCCTCAGGGATCACCCGCCTGATACAGCCGACCCCCTGAAAAATGTTGCCTAAGCAAACACCTTTGCCTTGTTTGCCGTTGCGGTAGATATGCCTCTGCTTAGGTCATCCTTACTGAATTTTCGGTGAAACTTGGGGAACCCTGGATCATACTCCAGGCTTCTCACCTCCTCAGCAGTCCCCTCCTTCACTGGGACAGCAACAGGTGCTACCACAACAGCAGGATTCTCTACTGCCTCCCCATCTGCTGCAGCACTCACTTCACCCAGCTTTCCTCCCAGTCCAGGGATGGGTCCATGCCTGCACCTGTAGACATAGCCCCTGTATGTTTCCTCAGCTTCAAGGATGGTTGTTCAACAGTCTGTCTAACAGAGGAGACAACACTGCAAACCTCACTCACTTGCAGTTCCGGCTTTTCTGGTTCAGCAGTCTCGATACAGAAGCCAGTGTTCCAATTCAATGTGTAGGTGACAGATGGCAGGTTCTCCAGCATAAGCTGCACTAGCAGCTCCATGCAATGTCCACAAAGGCTCCATACTCAGATCCCCACTGTTGGCTGCCCACATGTACAGTCATGGCCAAAAAGTTTGGCACCCTTGCATTTATGAAAATTGTTGCAATTACAAATGTTTAGGCATTCTCATGTTTATTTATTTTGTTTGTATTGGTGGAGAAACAAAAAGCCAAATCTGACACATTCCACACAAAACCACAAAAATGGACTGGACAAAATTATTGACACCGTCAATTTAATATTTGATAGCACACCCCTTGGAAAAAGATAACTGGAAATCAATCGCTTCCTGTAGCCTTCAATGAGTTTCTTACACCTCCCTACTGGAATTTTTGGACCACTCTTCTTTTGCCAACTGTTCCAGGTCTCTCAGATTGGAAGGGTTCCTTTTCCCAACTGCTGTTTTGAGATCTCTCCACAGGTGCACCACAGAGATTGAGATCGGGACTCATTGCTGGCCAGTTCAGTACTCTCCAGCGCTTTATCTGAAACCATTTCTGGTTGCTTTTTGACATGTGCTTTGGGTCACTGTTCTGCTGTAAGACCCATGACCTCTGACGGAGGCCCAACTTTCTGACACTGGGGCCTACACTGCACCCCAGAATTCTTTGGTAGTCTTTAGATTTCATAATGCCATGCATATGGTCAAGACATCCAGTGCTTGAAGCAGCAGAGCAAACCCAAAACATCAGTGAACCTGCACCATGTTTGACTGTGAGGACTGTATTCTTTTCCTTAAAGGCCTCATTGCATTTTCTGAAAACAGTAGAATTAAGGGCTTTACCAAAAAGCTGTAATTTTGTGCAGATTCGTGATTCATCAGTGAATATCACTTTCATCCAGTCATCCACAGTCCATGATTTCTTTTCTTTAGCCCACTGTAACCTTGTTTTGTTTTTCTGTTTAGGTGTTAATGATGGATTTTGTTTGGCTTTTCTGTATGTAAATCTCATTTCCTTTAGGCGATGTCTTACAGTTCGATCACAGACATTGACTCCAGTTTCTGCTAATTTGTTCCTCATTTGTTTTGTTGTGCACTTTCTGTTTTCAAGGCATATTGCTTTAAGTTTTCTATCATGACACTATGAAGTCTTCCTTGGTCTATCAGTACGCTTCTCTTTTACAGCCTTCCCATTTATTTGTACTTGGTCCAGATTTTAGACACAGCTGACTGGGAACAACCAACATCTTTTGCAACATTCCGTGATGATTTACCTTCTTGAAGAAGTTTTATATTCCTCTCCTTTGTTTCAACTGACATCTCTCGTGCTGGATTTATGTCAATCAGCTTGGTGCCACAACTCCCCTAGGTGTGCAAGCACTCTTTTTTAATTGCAGACTAATTAGCAGATGTAATCTGATGCAGATGTTTATTTTAAAACTGCAAAGTATGTGGTGATTCTATAATATTTTCCTCAGAATTGAGTGATTCCATATTTTTTCCTCTGCTTGATCTGTAAAACAGTTGCAATTGACTACAGTTTCCTTTCTTTTTTATTTTTTTAAGTGTTTCTTAAAGCCAGAAGGTTGGAATGTTAAATGAATATAGTTATGAGACATGTCTGTGATTGTTTTTTTTCTACACAATTAAACAATCGAATTAACATTTTCCAAGAGTGGTGATTCCATACTTTTTGCCAGGGGATGTATAACAAAGTGGAAGCAACTGGGAAAAACAGCAACTCAGCCACAATGTGGTAGGCAACATAAAATGACAGAGCAAGGTCAGCGCATGCTGAAGCGTACAGTGCGCAGAAGTCAAAAACTGTCTGCAAGGTCAATAGCGAAAGACCTACAAACTTTGTGCAACCTTTAGATTAGCACAACATGGCCATTTCCATGGCCAAGCAGCTACATCCAAGCTTTACATCACCAAATGCAATGCAAAGCGTCGGATGCAGTGGTGTAAACTACACCGCCACTGGACTCTAGAACAGTGGAGATATGTTCTATGGAGTGACGAATCGCGCTTCTCTGTCTAGCAATCCAATGGACGTGTCTGGGTTTTGTGGTTACCAGGAGAACAGTACTGCATTGTGTCAAGTGTAAAGTTTGGTGGAGGGGGGATTATGGTGTGACGTTGTTTTTCAAGGGGCTTGGCCCCTTAGTTCCAGTAAAGGGAACTCTTAAGGTGTCAGCATACCAAGGCATTTTCGACAATTCCATGCTCCCAACTTTGTGGGAACAGTTTGGGGATGGCCCCTTCCTGTTCCAGCATGACTGAGCACCAGTGCATAAAGCAAGCTCCATAAAGACATGGATGGGCGAGTTTGGGGTGGAGGAACTTGACTGGCCTGCACAGTCCTCAACCCCATAGAACACCTTTGGGATGAATTAGAGCAGAAACTGCTAGCCAGGCCTTCTCATTCAACATCAGTGCCTAATTTCACAAATGCACTTTTGAAGAATGGTCAAACATTCCCACAGACACACTCCTAAACCTTGTAGACAGCCGTCCCATATGAGTTGAAGCTTATATTCCTGCAAAGGGTGAGCCAACTCAATATCGAACCCTACAGATTAAGACTGGGATGCCCATAAAAGTTCATGTGCATGTAAAGGCAGATGCCCAAATGCTTTTGGAAATATAGTGTATATGAGGCCAAATCAAATCTGATCCACAGTGATCTCTTCACCACACTTAAGAAAAAGTGGTGGGGGGAAACACTTTGTGATTTGCTGATTTTATTTGGCAGTATCATGCTATGTATGACCTTTTTTGAATGGGCACTATATACTGATAAGGATACACTTCCCTGACACCTGATGGCGGTTTTCTTGCAGGAAGGGTAGATCATCAGCTAATACTTCTCAAGTGTGTTTGCCTGTCTTGAGAGAGATAGACAATTTAAATTGTCCTTTTTTTCTCCTGTGGTGATCATCCATCCATCCTCTCGGGAGTCTGGAACTACCTTGGGTGTAGGCAGTGGAGAAATACCTCTGCTAGTGGTGTTCAAGCTGTG